TTGACACTCGTTTGTCTTGGTCTCCCCATATCTCTTACCTCCGTGTTGAGTGCTCTAAGGCCCTTACCCTCCTTCGGGTCTTGTCCCATACTTCTTGGGGGGCAGATAGGCGCACTCTCCTTGCTTTACATTCCTCTCTCGTCCTGTCTAAGCTCGATTATGGTTGCCCTGCTTACTCGTCTGCTTCTCCTTCTACTCTTCGCCGTCTTGATGCTTTGCACCATACTGGGTTGCGCCTCAGTTCTGGTGCCTTTCGTTCGACTCCCGTCCTTAGCTTGTATGTTGACACTGGCTTCCTGTCTCTCCAGGACCGCCGTGATCGCTACTGTCTTCGCTATCTTGCGCGGTCCTTGCAACATCCTTCCTCTCGCCTCTGTCGTGCTTTAACTTTTACCCCTCCTGCGGTTCCTGTTCCTCTTCACCACCTCCCTCTTTCTGTCCGGTTATCTCGCCTACAGGATTCTCTTTCCGTTCGTATTTCTGATGTTTCTCCTCGTGTTGTTCCTTCTTTGCCCCCGTGGAGGGTCCCTCTTCCGCGGTTTTGTACATCCTTGACTCGTATCACTAAAGCTTTTACCCCTCCTACGGTTCTAAAACGCCTTTTCCTCGAGCACTTTTCTTCTCACTCCCGCTCCGTTTCTGTCTTCACCGATGGGTCTAAGTCAGCGGACGGTGTTGGCTACTCTGTTGTTTTTCCTGATCGCACTTATATGTGTCGCTTGCCTCCGGAGACTAGCATCTTTACAGCGGAACTTTATGCTATTCTCTATGCTCTTCGTCTCCTGCTTTCTCGTTGTCAGTCTTCCTTTGTGGTTGTTGTTGACTCTCGTAGTGCCCTCATGGCTCTCGGGTGCTTTAATCCAGTTCATCCAGTAGTTGTCGAGATCCAGCATTGGCTGTTTCTCGTTCACAGTAAATTTAAGTCGGTTGAGTTTTGTTGGGTTCCCAGCCATATTGGCGTGTCTTTAAATGAGCGTGCGGATGCTGCCGCTAAGGAAGCTGTCCGCTCTTGTCCCATCTCTCGTAAAGGCATTCCGTATTCCGACTTTTACCCGGTTATCCATTCCTCAGTCCTTACCCGTTGGCAGGCTTCTTGGTTGTCTGTTACTGGTAACAAGCTACGTACTCTTAAATGTTGTGTTTCCTCGTGGCCATCCTCCTTCCACCGTAACCGGCGGTGGGAAACAGCTCTGGCGAGGTTGCGTATTGGCCATACTCGCTTAACCCATGGTCACTTGATGGAGCGCCGCCCTGCTCCTTATTGTCCTAGTTGCATTGTCCCTCTTACGGTCGTGCATGTCCTTCTTGAATGTCCTGACTTCCAGGACGAGCGTGTCTTGCTTTCCGACCGCCCCTCGCGGTCACCTGTCCCTCGATAGAATTCTTGGTGACTCGGATACTTTTGATATCGTTCGCCTTATGCGTTTTTGTTCTCGTATTGGCATCCTTGGTGATATTTAGCGCCCTCTGATTATTTTGCGTATTTGATGGTGCTACATAGCCTTCCCGGTTTGGTGCCTTCTTTTGATAATTACTTACTTACTTATGAGCCCATCCCTGCCCTGGTGTGGCAGTGCACAGTAGAAGTTGTTTTTACATATTCATACATTAAAACATTGATTAAACCCATGATATATATGTGCTTCAGTCTACAGATTAGACCTATTGTGTTGTGTATGACCGCTCTGTCCTGTGTGACAGTGAATACCAGCATTATCCTCACTTTAATAAGACTTAATTGAAATCCTCAGATTAGACAAAATTGTAATTAATTTTGTCAATAAAGATAATAATAATAAAGCTGCTGCGACTCCTTCTCACTCACTCCACTACTGCGCCACCTTCTCTCTCTCTTCACTGTTGCGTCACCTTCTTTTTCATTCTACTGCCGTGCCACGTTCTCTCTCTCACTCCACTGCCGCGCCATCTTCTCACTCATTCCACTGCCGTGTCACCTTATATCTCATGCCACTGCCGCACCACCTTCAATCTCACTCCACTGCTGCGCCACCTTTTATCTCACTCCAGTGCTGCTCCACCTTCTGTCTCACTCCAATGCCGCACCGCTTTCTATCTCACTTCACTGCTGTGCCACCTACTATCTCACTTCACTGCTGTGCCGCCTTTCATCTCTCTCCGCTGCCGCGCCACCTTCTATCTCACTCCACTGCCGCACCTCCTTCCATCTCACTCCACTGACGCGCCACCTTCTATCTCACTCCGCTGCCGCGCCAATTTCTATCTCACTCCACTGCCGCGCCACCTTCTATCTCACTCCACTGCCGCGCCACCTTCTCAATCACTCACTCGCAATTATCCACCAGATTTACTTGTTTGAAAACTCTATCTCTAAGATTTTTGTGTGAAATTTTAAAATGTCTTTTGTAAAGCTTGATACTGTACACATATTATGTGGAACTGATGAAAAATGCTTGAAAATTAAGCTCGTAATTAGAGTTTGAAATTGAAAAGAATAACCTACGAAAAATTAGTCAAATATTCCAGCAATATTTCAGGGTATTTCTAATTTACTGATTTCCGTGGAAATTGTCATACCTATTGTTAGGAATTTGTACTCCAAGGTGTTGAAATTTCAGGTAAATATTTTCTGAAACAACAACAAAAATGATATAACCGCAAATTATTTTATGCAAAATTTGATTATAATTATTCGTAAAGTTGCGTATTAATAGTATTAAAATATAACATTGCATTTAATTTATATTCAATGACATTACTAACCCTGATGTATCATTTATTTGCATGTATTTGCATTTGTGTAGCATATTGCACTTGCTTGGATCTTGTCTGTTGTAATGCCAGCTATTCATTGCTCATAAGCGAGATTATTTATAATGCACCCCATTATACATCTGCGCCACAAAAACAGCAATCATGAATATCGGCGTAATATGAGTCTAGGAGCCAAAGCGAGGGTGACCATGGCACGGAAGTGTATACAGCTCTCCTCTAAACAAAATGATTCTTTAATGCCTAAAGATTTATAGCCAGGGTACGCAACTCTAGTATGGGGAGATTTTTCCAATATGGCAAATTAGATGGCTATATCCAAATCGACTGGTGTCGTGGAAGTGTCTATATCTTGGGAATTGTTACTTCTAGATAAAAATTGCATAGGACCAAAATTGTTCACAACACTTTTTTTTTACACTGTTTTAAGTCAGCAGGCTCCATGGCACAGTGGTAAGATACTCGCCTGCGGAATCGTGAGCGCTTTGACCTGGATTCGTATCTTGGCCGGGAAGGATTGACCGGGCGCCTGTAATAAGCTAAGCTTGTCTTAGAAGTTTACAGATCTCAGATCATATGGTTTTACATTGAACACCAGCTAGTAGAGTGAGAGGACACTTTTTACCTGGTTAGGAGCAACGAAGGTCACTCCAGAGATTAAAGGATTAGCGAGGATAGCAGACAAAATGGCTGCATTTCACTTGTTGTTAATTCAACATTGATGAATAATTCAATAAATACAGTAATTGTAGTAAACCAATCTGGTTTAAGTATTTACGTTAGGTTAACATGAATGTACAGTAAATATCAAGACTCGTATGCTGTCAAAGAGACCATGACGTCATTTATAATAATGAACTAGTTCGTCAGGCGTCGTCTCTGACCCACCCTGGGTCAAGCTTATACGTCTGGGTGGTGATATTTAGCGCCCTCTGATTATTTTGCGTATTTGATGGTGCTACATAGCCTTCCCGGTTTGGTGCCTTCTTTTGATAATTACTTACTTACTTATACGTCTGGGAAGATCACAACCTTCCGTACTGTTAATTTATAAATTATAAATTCAGATCACTATTCAATATTGTAATTGGAAATAGCCGGGGCTCGAGATGCCTATAGAATTACCATCAGTTTCAATAGGAATTCAACCATCTGGGTGGCCAGTAAATAAGTTTGGCTTGTTCAATTAACCCTGCTTAGTTATCTAGCAGTCAGAGAGGCTGGTGGAGTAATCTTAGCTAGCTTCACAGTCTGGAAGAGAGAGAGAGAGAGGAGGACAGTGTGGAGTGGAACATTGTGGGGTCAACTTCTACCTCCAGAAGGCCAGGCGAACATCAGGCTGGCTTGAAGTATTACGGTAAAGTGCTTAGAGTTAGCAAGTTGATTTTAGTTCCATCAACTCATTTGCCACAATAGGAATATATTCAGTTTAGAAAGTGTTCAGATAGGGCGTGTTTCTTTTTATTTTCACTTGATAATCTTTGTTTAAGAAATCTTGTTTAGATTGGTGGTGTTTAGTGGAATTTCTTCCCCCCCCCCCCCAAATCTTATTTTATATTCTGTTGTTGGTCTTAAGACCCCATGCATTAGACTAGGCACTCTCTGCAAGCCGGCAAGCATTTACTTAATATACGCATATACTCCCTTAGTCTCAATTTAATCCGCACTTAACGTAAATTCACTCCTCCCTTGTCAATTAATTGGGGATTTATATTCGGAGAATTATATCTAATTGACGGTTTCCTGTTTCACTGTCAATTAGGGGGGTTAATCAAGGTGAAACGGATTCAGGTGGTGGCAGCTGAGAAGTTTCAAGAGTTTGCTAGGGGCGCAGTACAGTTTTCGTGTTTGTAGTATCTAAGGCAATCAGCCGTCTAAGATCACAAGGAGTGGACTGAAGATTATTTTAGAACTCTGGGGTCTTTACGTATAGGTAACTAAGGGCTGGGTAGTGGACGAAAGTGAGACAATACCCCATCCCCGTTATACTCCAATCCTAAACTGTATCCTTCTCTTCACCCAGCAGTCCTTGGGTACCTGGTTGTTAAACGATTTGGTAGGTCGAATTCCGGGGAAAAAATAGGAATAAGGCCCCTGCCCGAAACTATGCCTGCTAGTGGCTGTACAAGAATGTAAAAACTCTTGTATATAAAAAAAATTAAAATCTTCAAATATGATTTACTTGTCTATTTACTGTACTGTAAGACCATGTGATGTGCACTAAATACCTTTATTTTTCTTTTTTTCAGATTCTGTGATAAGTTGGTGAGTAGTTCTATTTGAAAACATCCTAGTGGGAGTACAAATTGCGCCAGCTGCCTGTGAGGGTAAAGAAAATCACACACACGTATCTTAGCCCTGCATTGGGCGCCAAAATATGATTTACCCTTTCTACACAGTCATAGCAACGCCCCACGTTACTGCCTCAGAATGTGAGGGTTTACTTGGTTTTCGAGCGTGGGTTCGAATGTTTGCCTTGGCTATTATTATTGTTTCCTGCAACAATCTGCAATTACATGTAACCTCACCAACAAAAGTGGGAGCCATGCTGCAAGAGGTCACTTTGCAGTAGTGTAACGGGGCCCACCCTTTAATCTCACTGACTTTGTTAAATCCTGGTCGTTAATAAGAAAATCTACAGACCAGAGCTCTGTGGTGTAACCTTCAGTTCAACTCCTTTAGATCTAAAACTTTCGATTGTTTAGATATCACGACCCGAGGATACTGTACCTTTCGAAGTCACACTGCAACCTCTGAGACGCCGTCACCACCTGCTACTCCCACCCACTGGGCAATTCCCACAATTAACTGTGAAGCAGGATACCGCCAGTTAGACATAATCCCCGAAAATGGATCCCCAGTTATCCGAAAGGAGGGATAAGATTTACATTTCATGTGAATTAAATCAAAGTACAAAGGGATTATATGTGATATTAAATAAATGCTTGTTGGCTTGCAGAGACTGCCTAGTTTAAAGCATGGGGGTCTTGAGACCAATAAAATAAACGCTGGAAAGGGGGGGGGAAATTTCCCTAAACATCATAAATTCTAAACAAGATTTATTAAACAAAGATTATCAATGTAAAATAAAAAGAAACACGCCTTATCTGAACACTTCCTAAACTGACTATAATCTAACTGAAATTCTTCCTAAAAAGAGGCAATGACTACAAAAATAATGTGGAGTCTATAATTGCACTTAATCAGACACATATCATTTACCTTAAATACCACAGCCAAGGTCAGTTGTTCACCCTTGCCTCTGGAGAGGAGGTGTTGACCCCCAGGATGTCTCAACCCCCACTGTTCCAATTCTCTACTGACCTCTGTGAGGCTGACCTTAGCTTAGTTGCCAAATTAATCTTCGAAGATGATTACTAACTAAAATCCTGTACTCGTCACTGAAGGTGACTTATTATTCCAAAACAATTGGGAAACTATCTAGATACTTGAGCCAGGCAAATTACAATATTCAATAGCACTTGCATTTCACTAATTTAGATGAATTAACAAGCAAGCAAGCTGGTAGGTACATATTTTCCAAGTAACGAGATACCATATTCTTCATTAGACCTCTAGAGAGGTCTAATGCTTCTTTGATAACATACGAGACTTATTCTTTATTCTCAATTGACGTTAATTTTAACATAAGTACTTAACCACGATTGATTATTCCTACTAATTCTTTAATACATGAATTAATCTTCTAGTTTGATGACTCAACGCAGGGCTCATGTGGCGCTCCTGTTTCCCACACTTGAGCTCTAATCCCTTATGGGGGGATGACCCTTCCTAGCCTTTCAGGTCAACTTGCAATTCACTCCATATTTTTACACAGGACGTATCCTCCCTTCTAGTGAACGACAACTTTTAATGTTCGATCTATGGTTCTCTATTAACAGTTCTACTGTTACAGTAGTAACAACAGCCAAATGACAAACAAATAAATACACCTTGGAGGCGTGAACAAGAGTCCATGAACCAAGTATTCCAGGTGGAGATGAAGGCCATGCTGGTCTTCTACTGCACACCCAATACGAGACCTTCCGTACTTAGATCGTTAACTCTGCTACTTGCTTGCAAGCAAATCTAGCAGGAAACGGATGGGTCCTCACACTGAATTTATATTAAGAGTTTGAGGCTCTGGACTTGATCCCGAGCCAACTCAAATTATTAAGTAGCAATTGTGTTGAAATATGGAGGCAGTACTTCAGAATGAAGAGTTACATCAAAGGCACATGTATTAAAATAAATTTATTCAGCAACTTACTAATACACATTGACCCACGAGAGTTACATTATTCACGAGTGTTACCTCAACAACTGTCAAACACCTCGCAGCATGAATCCGTTCTCACCACTCTGACAGGTGTGAAAAAGATCACAGTCTCATCCACTAGACAAGTCATGAACAAAAGTGAACTAATTGAACACTTCGTGAACACTCTTGGCAATTATTGCACTCGTCACTCGCAGTATCAAATCACTTCAACATTATATATATATATATATATATATATATATATATATATATATATATATATATATATAAATAATGCGAACAAGCCTGAATGGTCCCCAGGACAATATGCAACTGAAAACTCACACCCCAGAAGTGACTCGAACCCATACTCCCAGAAGCAACGCAACTGGTATGTACAAGACGCCTTAATCCACTTGACCATCACGACCGGACAAAATGAGGTGATAGCCGAGGCTATTTGAACCACCCCACCGCCGGCACTCGGATAGTAATCTTGGGCATAGCATTTTACCAAATCACCTCATTCTTTGGGGCACACGTGAGGAACACAAATGCGAACAAGCCTGAATGGTCCCCAGGACAATATGCAACTGAAAACTCACACCCCAGAAGTGACTCGAACCCATACTCCCAGAAGCAACGCAACTGGTATGTACAAGACGCCTTAATCCACTTGACCATCACGACCGGACAAAATGAGGTGATAGCCGAGGCTATTTGAACCACCCCAAATGGTTGGTTGAACACCCCAAATGGAGTGGTTGACAAATGGAATGCATTAGGGGGTGATGTGGTGGAGGCTGACTCCATACACAGTTTCAAGTGTAGATATGACAGAGCCCGATAGGCTCAGGAATCTGTACACCTGTTGATTGACGGTTGAGAGGCGGGACCAAAGAGCCAGAGCTCAACCCCCGCAAACACAACTAGGTGAGTACAACTAGGTGAGTACACACACACACACGCACGCACGCACACACACACACACACACACACACACACACACACACACACACACACACACACACACACACACACACACACACACACACACACACACACAAACACACACACATGGGTTCAGGGAGGGTAAATCTTTCCTTACAGGCTTGACAGAATTCTACGATCAGGTGACAAAGATTAAGCAAGAAAGAGAGGGCTGGGCGGACTGCATTTTCTTGGATTGTCGGAAAGCCTTTGACACAGTACCGCATAAGAGGCTGGTACATAAGCTGGAGAGACAGGCAGGTGTAGCTGGTAAGGTGCTCCAGTGGATAAGGGAGTATCTAAGCAATAGGAAGCAGAGAGTTACGGTGAGGGGTGAGACCTCCGATTGGCGTGAAGTCACCAGTGGAGTCCCACAGGGCTCTGTACTCGGTTCTATCTTGTTTCTGATGTATGTAAATGATCTCTCAGAGGGTATCGATTCATTTCTCTCAATGTTTGCGGACGATGCTAAAATTATGAGAAGGATTAAAACAGATGAGGACTGTTTGAGGCTTCCAGAAGCCCTAGACAAGCTGAAGGAATGGTCGAACAAATGGTTGTTAGAGTTTAACCCAACCAAATGTAATGTAATGAAGATAGGTGTAGGGAGCAGGAGGCCAGATACAAGGTATCATCTGGGAGAGGAAATTCTTCAGGAGTCAGGGAAGGAAAAAGATATGTGTCTCCTGCAGCACATATCAAGCGGATAACATCAGCGGCATATGCCAGGCTGGCCAACATACGAACGGCATTCAGAAACTTGTGTAAAGAATCATTCGGAACTTTGTATACCACATATGTCAGGCCAATCCTGGAGTATGCAGCCCCAGCATGGAGTCCATATCTAGTCAAGGATAAGACTAAACTGGAAAAGGTTCAAAGGTTTACCACCAGACTAGTACCCGAGCTGAGAGGTATGAGCTACGAGGAGAGACTACGGGAATTAAACCTCACTTCGCTGGAAGACAGAAGAGTTAGGGGGGACATGATCACCACATTCAAGATTCTGAAGGGAATTGATAGGGTAGATAAAGACAGTCTATTTAACACAAGGGGAACACGTACAAGGGGGACACAGGTGGAAACTGAGTGTCCAAATGAGCCACAGAGATATTAGAAAAAACTTTTTTAGTGTCAGAGTGGTGGACAAATGGAATGCATTAGGAAGAGATGTGGTGGAGGCTGACTCCATACACAGTTTCAAGTGTAGATATGATAGAACCCGATAGGCTCAGGAATCTGTACACCTGTTGATTGACGGTTGAGAGGCGGGACCAAAGAGCCAGAGCTCAACCCCCGCAACCACAACTAGGTGAGTACAACTAGGTGAGTACAAACACACACCAATCAAATGTAATGTAATGTAATGAAGATAGGTGTAGGGAGCAGGAGACCAGATTCAAGGTATCATTTAGGAGATGAAATTCTTCAAGAGTCAGAGAGAGAAAAAGACCTGGGGATGATTTCACGCCAGACCAGTCCCCTGAAGCCCATATCATGAGGATAACATCAGCGGCATATGCCAGGTTGGCTAACATAAGAACTTGAGTCAGGAATCTTTCTGAACTTTGTATACCACATATGTCAGACCAATCCTGGAGTACACGGCTCCAGCATGGAGTCCATATCTAGTCAAGCATAAAAATTTACTGGAAAAGGTTCAATGGTTTGCAACCAGACTAGTACCCGAACTGAGGGGTATGAGCTACGAGGAGAGATTACGGAAATTAAACCTCACGTCACTAGGAGACAAAAGAGTTAGTAGAGACATGACCACCACATACAAGATTCTCCCAAGAATTAATAGGGTATGATGAAGACAGACTATTTAACACAAGAGGCACTCACACTAGGGGACACGGGTGGAAATTGTATGCCCAAATGAGCCATAGAGACGTTAGAAATAATTCTCTCAGTGTCAGAGTAGTAGACAAATGGAATGCATTAGGAAGTGATGTGGTGGAGGCTGACTCCGTACACAGTTTCAAGTGTAGATAAGATAGAGCCCAATAGG